ACTCATTTCATTTCTTTCCCCGAATTTAAATAAAAGGTAAGTTCGCATGCGCTAATTCAACTGAGGATCAACCAATCTCGACCCAGAGCTCTTCTCCGCCTGTAGAGGAAAGATATCAAGAGCTCTGGGGAACCCTGGAGCAAGATTGTCTCTGATTGGTTTCAGCAAAAAACAACAAAAGTGTTTCTGATTGGTCCGTTCAAGCTTGCACGAAAGCGGTTGGACGTGCGGCGTGTCTGGCGTTTGAGCGGGTTTTTCGCTAGAAATGTTGAAGTAAACACGACCGGCCGATTCTTAATTTCAGCGATTCCAAAACAACATTTGCAGGACTAATTAGCCAGAATTACTGGATTCTCCAATTTTCAAATAAAGTAGTATAGCTACATATCGAAAATTGAACCAGAAAAAGATTTGAATGTGAAAAAATTAAATAAAAATATACCGACATCTTTGCCAGCTGTAATTTAAGAAGCATGACACATTACTGATTTTTCTTTGACTTTCACGTTATCGTATTCACACGAACTAGCCGAGTATGAATGAAAACTTGAGCTCCTTGTCGTAAATTGCCCAAAAACAGACTTGCAAGAAAAAGAAAAAACAGAAAAAGTAAATCGTTCGCTAAAGTGATGCGTGTACAATTCGACTAGATATTTATAGTTGTTCTCTTTTCCCACGATATCGCATTTCAAAGCAGCTTCGCTGAAGTGTTGTTCATGAATAAACATAAATAAAAGAACGCAAAATTCATATTTTAGAAAGTTTTATTGGAATTTCAACACGTTTATCTTAACAAGCCATTCGGGTTTCACTTACCGCCTCGTGAAGAAGTTGGTTTGCCTACGTGTAACACCAATTCAACGATTTTACTAAGGAGGAAAGTAAGGTTTTAAGAGGCCTAAATGAAATGCACTTCCGAAACGTAACTGCGACAGAAGCAAACTCGTCCGCGAAGTGAGACGCACTGACAAATATTCTTTGATCTTGATAGAATTTCGCTCTTATTTTAAAGATTATGGTCCAAATTGCTTCCCGTTTTCTGTAAATTACGTTTCCCGTCGAGGTTCATCGCCAAAATGGCTGCAAAACAACGTTCACTTGATGACGTCGATGCGGACCTCTCGAGTTTGCGTGCCGCTACAAGCAAGCAAACACGCTGTAGTGCTACATGAATGAATTATTGATTTCAATTCCTTACGCACACCATCAAAAATGTCATCGAGGATAGTTTCAATTACAATTCTGATTTCTTAATTTTAGTCATACTTACCTCCCTAAACAGTAACTTTTTCTTTAAACTAACAAAACTGTGATTAAGTGTAGTTCCGTAGTTATGATGCTTGCTTCCTTTAAAATTGAAATTAACAGGCGATTCATTAGGTAAACAACCAAGCAAACAAACCACTAATAGCAAAAACGTGACTGTCTGACCACCTTACTAAGGTTATAAGTCTCTACAACTGTAGCTGCAAGTTTGACGTGCAACGTAACCATGGCAACAATTATAATGTTTTTCAAACTTCGACATGCCTCTTGATATTACAAACTAAAAAGGACAGCTCTCTAGCTATGAATCATATTGTGTAAGTAGGTTGAGTATGATCGTCCGGTTGAGCGTAGTCCTGAATAGGACTGTTGTTGTTGACAGTGACTGACGTTTCCATAACCTGTAGTCATCTTCAGATTCATTGGGGTGAGTTGTATCACGTCAGTTGATGGTATTAAACTCTGGTTATTGGCCTGATTGCTCAATTAAGTCGCGATGTTATTGGTCGTCTGTCAGTTAAGCAGTGATGTCATTGGCTATGAAGACACATAATGTCATTGGTCATCCATCTATTGTCACAGTTAAAAAGTCGTTTATTGTTAGTCAAAATATCAGTTGTCCAGTCGCTCTCTCGTAGTTAGTTTTGCTTGATTTCGTCAGTAAGTCCTTTGTACGGTGCCGGTAACTGTTGACTACGATTCATTGGCGTTCGTTCTAAGTTAGTAACCCAGCTTTCTAAAGAGCCGTTGATAGTAGTCTGTATATTACGTAATACATGTCGCAGACTCCCAGTCGATTTGATGTTTCGTCTGTAAATGGTGCTCAGCAATGTGATTTTTAGCGTCACCATTTCTCGTAGCACGTTGTGTGTTCGGTCAGTTGCGTGCTAACGTTTCTGCCGGTTTCACTGACCAATGTAAGTAGCCTGGTAGTCGACGCATTTGATCTTGTATACTGCTTCCTGTCTGTCCTCCGGTTTGTCTTTGTCCTTGACATTAGTAAGTAGTCGGCGTAAAGTGGTTATTGGTTTGTTCCCAACATGTATATTGTAAGGTTCTAGTATCCGTGCGATAGTTTCGGAGGTGCCTCTGATGTACGGTATAGTTGCTGTCGTAACAGGGCCAGAGTTGACGTTTGTCTGAGTGTTGGAATACGTGTGATCCGTCCAACAAAGTCCGTGTTGTTGTTGTTGTTTTTACTAAAAACGTTGTTTAGGTAGTCAGTGTCGTCTTGTAGGTTGTCAGGCGAGTCGCAAACCAGTTGCGCTCGTCTCGTCAAATTTAAGTCCGTATAGTTAAGTTGTCGGCTTCCTTCCTCTTCCGAATCTTCCTTTAACTTCTTGCTAAGAACAATTCTTCCGCTCTTCTTCTAGCAGGTGGCCCACAAAAAGGGAACCAAACGTCCCACTTCCCAACTCTTCGTCAATTTTCACATTCTCCAGATACATTTTTGATGCCGTGGCTTTGCCATTGTTGCCAAAGATGGCACATTAACTAGGAGCCTGTTACCTTGGCCGACAACTTAAACAAAGGCGGGATTTGGCGCGAATCCTCTAGGCTGTGTGAAGATGGACGTCTCGAATTGTTGCACACGGAAAAGACGTCTGCACGCAGGCTATGAATCTTCGATAAAAGGTCAAAAGGAGCTTCCAGCAAAAGAGAAACGGTTTGTCGATCCATGTTTCATCAATCCATGTTTTATTATTTTAGTCCATGCTTTACCAATCCAGTCCAGTCCATGTTTTGCCATACATCGTGCACACGAAAGAAACTTTTTCAATTGCAAAGTCATATGTCCTCTAACATTATATTCTGCAAATACTTTTTTGTTGTATTGTGAATTGCGAATTTAAAACTATAGTGACCAGAAAATTTTTAAATACATGTACATCTGGCTAAATGCAAAAACAAGTTAGCATACACGCTGTCGAAATGGCAGAATAAACATCCCTTCTCCCGCGAAGCATTAAATCAACATTCATTTCCTGTGGATGTGTTGTAATTATTACCCGTAAGAACCCTAGACTACAAGTCCGCAGGTGATGAGCTCTTTCAAGTCCTGCTAAGCTTTCGTCTCCACATAATCAAAAGGGACATGCAAGGTAGGCTAATACTAACCGAATTTAAAAATAGCCACTGACCTGAAGGATTGAAGACATTCCTCCGTCGGATGTGTATGGTGGCCTTCCCTCTTCTTTTACTTTTCATTCGCATTTACTTTTTATTCATTATTTATTTTCTATTTCATTTGTTGTAAGAGTCCACCCTCCATAAGTTAATCAAATAGCTGCTTACAAGAGCCCATTCTCATAAGCGACCAGTTCTCTAGTTGCGACCATTTTTACAGATTCCCGAGGTGGTCGCTCACAAGAGCTCTGAGTTCAAATAACGCATTTTCGAGCTGGCCTTGCAGCTTAAGAGGGTCAGCAGAAGAGTAAAAACGAAATAACATTTCGAATGTCTGATTACTACAGCCCTCGGGAAAGTTCCGATACACTCGATACGGACAGCGTAAAAAAGCGTAGAATCATTAAAACGGACAGTGAAAGAAATTTTATTATTATCATTATTATTTTTTTACGGGATACTTATCGTGATACTATCACTGAGCCTGAGTCACCTGAGGCATAGTTGAACCGTGTGGCAGTTGTGTAGGATTTCAGAGAACTAATTGCTTTGGAGTGTTCTTTTAATATCACACTTAGGGAGGATACTATTTCGAAATTTATAGACCTATATACTTATTTTTGTTCTTGTTGTTGTTGTTTTTTTTTTGGGGGGGGGGAGGTAATTTTTTTAAACAGTCCATGAGCTTTGCTCGTTCGTGTCAGACTCCCCCATATTTTGCACTGAATGGATAACTTTAAAGCTTACTCATTATTTTTTGTTTGTTCATGTGTTTCTTTAAGTTTAATAAGACCTTCGAATTTGTAGGAAATGTCATTTTTTCGTGCCACATAAGTACAAGGTCGAAGTTTCACTTAAATCAAGATGAGTCTATCATAACAAAAATAGCCCACGATCGATATATCAAAATTTTAACATGACTCGGAGGCTTTATGGTCATAGTTCTATATTTGGTGTGGTTTTCTCTGTGCTCAAGTCTCTTCCGGAAATTACGAGACAATAGACTAGTGAAAAATTTGCAATTTTGTCTGTAACTCCTCGGAATCGTATTTGAATGTTTGTTTTAGAATATTTGTTAAATGCAGTGACCCTAATTAACTGGATTGTGAGTGACTTAGCGACCTTCTATGTTGTGATTATATCGGATTCTGCTACGCGTGAGTCGTAAATAACTATATAAAGCCAATATATTACTCTCCGAAGTTCCCCCATTGAATGTGGGGAACTTCGGAGAGTAATGTTTGCGGATTAACGTTTTCGGTAGTCTTCAATTGCGGCAACATTATCAAGTGGATCTTGGAAAAAAATCCTTCACTCTGAAGCATATTAACTGACTACAGCTATAATAACTAAGTGTCACTGCATAAGACAAGCTAATGCCTGTCTGTTTCGGGGTCATTTTTTTTTTAATTGTTTTAGATAGATTTATGAACCTGTTTTAGCGAGCTTGAACATTGCGGAAATTAATTGCAACACGTACCAGCATAACAAACAATTTGGCAATATCCTCTTCATTGTTGATGCCAGCTGCCTGAACATGCAACAACTAAGAACACCTAAACTGGAGTATAAAACCTGGGGTTAGAGAGCCGAGCGTATTAGAGTGAAGCTGGCCTGAAGCAAAAGGTTGGTGTCCAAATTTTCCATAACTATTAATTATAGCTTTGCAGCGCTATAGATTCTGTCTACACCAAACTTGACGTTGAAAAAGTGAAGATCGGTAAGTGGTTCGATATGTAAAAAGTTGTAAATTTGTGCTTGATAGACTTGGTAATGATCGCTTTTGATGCCTGCATTAACATCATTTTCACGGAAGTTCAGCTTTACATTTACCGAATTTGATAGGTCTATTACTCTCGCAATTATTTGCTTTTGACTTGGATCATGTGGAGATCGACTTTTGAAACGCGTTGACTTGTCAATAGCTAAGGTCGCAGGACATATAACTGTTTGTTCATTGCCTAATGCCCAAGGCTATAAGGGTCTTCAAGGCTAGTATAATTCTGCATCTATTTTTAGTTTCAATCATTTCATGACCTTTAGCTTAGTTTTATGCTATTCTTAGTAAAGGAATTTTCCTAACCCCTCGATTGTTTATATCTGACTATCCAAAAAAACAAGGCAAAAACTTGAATACTGCTTAAAATATCTTAGTGAGACAATACTCAATAATATCTATATTCTCTTATGAAGTACATATTCAGGAGTGAGGGCTGGAATTTAGTGCACCAAACCCTTTCGGCCAGCCTCTTGGGGCGATGTTCGATGTGTGTGAACGACTTATCCCGCCCCCGTTTTCTCTTTTCGTGGCGCTAAGAAATTAAAAGCTATCCGGCATAGTGTGAACAGTGCCTATTTTGGGGGCTAATCCGGGAGGTTAAGGCTGACCATACTGAAGGGCAGTCTGGGGACATGCTAGCTACTATTAAGAAATTCGTTACTATCACGTGCTTACCAATGCTTACCTCATTAGGCAATTAAACTGTGCAATGGCGAGTGCTTTTATTGCGGCCTCTATCGAAGCTTCTGCTGAGGAGGCTGCAACAACTGCTGTGGAAACAGTTGTGGAAAACGCTGTCGAAGATACTGTCGAAGAGACAGTGGAAAACGGTGTGGAAAATGTTGTAGAAGAAGTAAGTGCTCAAATATGGACAGGTGTCACCGTCGTCATTTGCTTATGATTCTTACTAAGTAAGCATAGCAGCAAGCATTATCGAGGCCAGTCAAAAAATGATAATTTATCACTTTTGTTAAGACAAAAAAATCCTCATTACTTGGGTAAATGTACTAAGATCCAATAAGTGAATTGCTTTGCTTTATCAGGTAGTTGAAAATGCGGTCGAGAACTCTGTTGAAGAAGGGGTTACTGATGCAGTCGAGGAGGCAGTAGAGGAAGCCGTTGGGGAAGCTGTTAGTTCAAGTTTGAAGAAACAGCTGTTAATATTCATAGCTGGTAAAGAAAAAACATTGAATTTACGACAGTCATAGGTTTGAGCTATTTCCATAAACGTCATAAACCTAAGGGTCAATGGCGCGGACGTACTGTAAGTTCGTGGGAAGTGGCCAATGTGTGCAGGGAGTGATAATACAAGTGAAAGTGAGTGAAAGTACAACTAAAACTGTGTTGTTCTAGTGATCTATGTAGAATGAAAGTAGCAGTGGTCAGTCTCAAATTTACTTTCTACAAAAAGAAAAAAAACAAAAATGGAAGAAGTAAGCAGAGTTGTTGTCGTGGAAGCCGAGATGTGTGCTTCTTGGTCCACTTTGTAGATCAGTGCACGTACAGCTGTATTGTTTAATTTTACCACTTGTTTTATTCATTTCATGTACGAATATAATCGCATTTCTTCCCTCAGGGCTTATTGTATCTGTAGGTGTGATAAGTCCAATCATCCATGCGATCCAAGCTTCAACTGGTGCTGGGAAGAAAGATTGTGACATAGATGATAAAACAAAGAAAAAGGTATTAGTTCTAATTATGCTTCTGTTATGTCAGTCTCAAGGAGATGAAGATCGTTCGCTATCTCTATCGTTCTAGGTTGGAAGCACCTGTCAATTATTTTAAAGAATTGAAAAAACGTTTCTAACTGAATCTATGTGATAACTCAGTGTTCATTAACGCAGATCACGGAGAATTCAGTTTAGCCTTCACGTTATCGCACTCCTTTCCTTCTTACGTTGTAAACAAGTTCTTTATTGTTTTTTTTTTTTAATTATTATTATTATTATAATTATTTTTATCCCCTGCTTAATTAGATTCATATATAGATTTAGCCAGGGCTAAAAGAGAAGCTCTTAAAAAAGTTTGTTCAAACAAAATATAAAATCCTTTTATGCTAAAGGTGATGTTACACGGGACGTTTCGCAACGACGATTTTTAGCGCAACACAGCGTTGCAATGTTGGAACAATGTTGTAACCATTCGAAACAACGTCGCAACAATGTTGCAACTCTGTGTTGCGCTAAAAATCGTCGTTGCAAATCGTCTCGTGTAACATCACCTTAGGCGGCGAAGGCAACGCCGGAGAACGGTGAAAAACAACGATAGGTCTAAGTCTGATTAGCAAAAAAGCAACTTTGCACGTGCACGCACTTTTTTGGTACATTTCTTTGCCGTTGTTTTGCACGACTACAACGTGAAACTTCCAGAAACTTCTTAGACGTTACACGTTGTTTAGAGGAAATGTCGTACGTGTTTTCGTTCACTTTTTTTTCACTGCCACTCATTTTCACCTTGCATTGGTGGCCGCTAGCATTTCTCGTTTTGTCACCGCCGCTACAAATTTTCGTGTCGTCTCCTTTGTTTTTGAATCCCTCGCTCTAGATCTCTGTCGCCCTTTTTCTCGTTGATCTTCGCTGGCCTGCCGTCTACTTTCTCTTTTTCTCTGTCTTTCTCTTGCTCTATATTCCAAATTTTTGGGCATGACAATTAATCTAAGCTTAATATTTTAGACAGCACGGATACAGAAACAATTTCCGCTTTCAGTTTTCGACGTTATTGAGCTTTAGTTCTCTCTGCTTTACAAGACGCGGGTGGCTATGCGATTTCCCGCCAAAATAATCTCGAGTTGCATTTGGGTTGCCATACCTGCTGATTGAGTTATTTTACATTGGCATGCCTGTGATGGGGACGGACGGTCGGTGGTCGGCGGTCGGTGAACGGTAACGTGATTACCAAATTTTCTGGGATGGGTAGATTTACTTACCCATGGTGCTCCGCTATTATCACTATGTTTTTCCAAGAGAGATGCCTTTTTTATAACGCAACAAATACATAAATACTGTTTATTAACCCTATTCAGAGCGGGGAGGCTTTTGGAGCACCCCCTCGCTAAAACGTTGAATAACTCCAAAACCTTTTAAGATTTGACCACCGAACTTCGCGACTTTTCCTAAAAATTATCTGAACACTTTAGCATTGACGTTGTTTTTCAAATATAATTTGCTTTTTTTCTTACCGAATAAGATTTTTTATATTTTTTGATTAACTCGTAGCATTTTATATAATTTAGCAATATTTTATCCAGTTTATTATAACTATAAGTGTAATCCAGGGTTTTTAGTGACTGATTTGAAAAAAATCATGAATTTAAAATGACCAATTGGCAGATGTTAGTTTTAATATTCAACATTGTTAACTTCTCTCGGGGTTTCACAACTTGTTGATTTTTTGCTTCCTGGGCATCCTTTTGTACATAGATCTTTTTTTTTTCACGGTTACCTTGATTTATACGGGTTTTAAGGACAAATTAATATATTTAATTAATTCAAAAGGGCGGATCCTTCATGCCGGATGGTTCCGTCATCATTACACCACTGCTATTGATAAAGATTTTATTAATGAGTTTGCCAACTTCTTGATTTTGTGAGATACCATACTATTTAAAATAAGTATTTTTCGAGTTGAGGGGAAAACTAATGGTGTTTGGATTCTGCCAATATGACGTCATAGCGACGTCAATCTTCGTCATCGTGTCAGTCAAGTTATCCCTAGATGTTGCAAATGATGAGTACATTTTTCTGAATAATTTTCCCCACCTCCTCTCTTCGCGACCCTCTTCCGATCGCAGGAAGCAAAAAAATAGGGTCTGAACAGAATTAAGGACCAAGCCCACGTTTCTTTATTTCTCGTGTTGGTCAACAACTATATGTCCTTTATAAATACAGAAATTAAGAACCGAATTAAGAACTTACTTCACCTAAATTGCCTATAATAAGCCCAACTGGAGCTTTTTTGCGAGACTTAGTAAAATGTAGGTATTTATGAGAGGGTTTTCTACTGTACCTGATTTGCTCTATCCGTCCGGCTAGAAAAGCCTTGCTATTTACGGGTAGAGCAATTTGTAAATTTTTGCTTTTTCAGTGTTGAAAAAAAAACTTAGCTGAACTAGGAGTAAAGCGTGGCCTCGAGTAAAACTTGAATTGTGGAAATCGATTACCCATTAGGGTGGATTCATAGCATTTCTTGAGGTGGATCCTACAAAGGAGGGTACCCTAACAGTTGCTGCATGCGAGAGCCGTAGGCCCGCACAACTGTTGTATGAAAAAAAACTCTCAGCTAAAAGAGGCATCGCCCTAGAAGTCACCCTAAATCATCTAAACCGGACGAAGTCCCCCAAATGTGTAAACGTTTGTTGTCCTTTGTTTCCACACCTGAGCCATGTCCATTCGATTCTCGGATTAAAATAGGCTAAGTATTTGAAAGGAGAAAGAACTTATCAATTTTAGAGATAATTACTAAAGACTACATGTAACGGCACAACGAGAAACAAAGAGGCCTAGAGAATGAGTTTCATTTAAGGTTTCATGATTTTAACAGATGGACCGGTCTGAGGGTGTTCTCGACGCTTTGAATGCTCTTCTGCAATCATGGACAGCGGAACTGAAGAAATGTAGCAGCAGAGATTCCTTAGGGAATGTAACATACGGCGAAAAAAATGCCGATGCTGGTGGAGTCGTGTGGACATTGTTAAATGACATGAAAGAAGTGAGTAAAGGCTGGCTTACACCTACGACGCCGTAATCTGCAAGCCATCAACATGTTTTTCAAGGTCTCACCCCTTCGTGTTTGATGCTCCATAACTTTAACTGGCATGTAAGAAAAACCCAAAAAGTGTAACAACATATTTAAAATTGAACATAATTTTAGACCATGTTTCGTTGACATCAATACTTCAGTCCATAGCAAGAGAAAACCATAATCTGTTAAAAGTGTTTAGACCAACACCTTGGCGATTTCAAAAAAAAAAAAAATTATGAAGTTTTTCAAATTTAATGTTCGAATTTTACAATTTTTTTTTTTTCACTTTTGTTTTATTTGAATTTACAGTTCCTAATCTTTATTTGAATACCTAATGATGTCAACAAAACATATTCTAAAATCAAGTTCAGTTTTAGATGTGTTGTTTCATTTTGTGGCTTTTTTGTACATGCACTACAATCAAAGTTATGGATCGCGAGCATCAAACAGGAATGGGTGAGACCTTGAAAAAATGGTTGTAAGCCTCGTTAACAGGATTTTGTCTTTAACATTACCACCCTAGTCAGATTAGCCATCCGTACTTGCACTAACGTGGCCATGTTGTGATAGCTTCTAGTGCGCCACAATCACATCTGCAAATTTGAAACTTAAGACCAGCCGAAAGCTCTTGTTTCTTCTTTCTTTAACTTTTTATTACACAGGATCTTAACAAAGCCCTGCTTATCGCAGATGAAGACAAAGCTAACTGTCAGTGGGAGGCTGACATAGACCAGTTTGAGTTGGATGTGATTAAGGGAGCTTATAATGTCAGCGCCATCTTCATTGCGAAGGATCATGCTCCGGGTATGCAAGAGAAGAACTTCCCACCTGAAGCTGACCGCAAGAAGATGACAGACACCTTTAATAAGTATTACAACGATGAATGGAAAAAGATGATCAAATACAATGTATGTAAACATTCCTGCAACCTCGCCACTTTCTCTTTTTATTTTTTTGCTGTTTTTGCCGTATCAACCACTCGCAATCATAAAAAAAACCCGTTCACTTTGTTGAAACAAATGGGGGAAGGAGGGAGGGGTTGAGGTCTCAAATGTAATAAATGACCCTTAATGCAATGAAAAAAAAAGTCCTAAGTGACGTAATAAATTTTGGCCCTAAATGTAATAAAGGTCCTAAGTGTATAAAAACATTTTTTTTTGATATAGGAACTAGACTATGCGTGTCAAAAATACTTCTCAAACGTAAATTTGTATTTTAGTACTTCTTTGGGTTCCTCGTTTAAATCATCTGGTATTCAGCCAGTGCTCTCGTCCAATTAATCATACTCCATCTTGGAACGTGTAGAGCACGAACGTAGTAGAGCACAATGACTTCTAATTTTCCTTGAGACTGGGAATGGTATGAGCGGCTGTATACCATTTTTACTCGCAATTTACGACCAAGTCTTTCCACGGCTGCTTTAAGTTCAGAACCTTGGTCACTTTGCAGTACCAAAAGGGGGGTCCATTTTCTATGTATATAGCCTTTAACTCAGCCGCAACTGCATGCTTTGCTATTTTTGCTTTCAAGTGGTCTAAGCCAAATGAACCTACTGAAGCCAAAAATGTCGAAAAAAAAATTCCTTGATCTGAAGTTTAACCCTTCCACACTTTCCAAGATCCAACAGATCTCCTTGGTGTCTGACTTGCACATATATACGAGAACAAACAGGAGAAGTAGTCGAGTGTTTCTCCCTACTCCTTGAGGAGTTAGTTTAATTCCTTCTTTTCCTAACATCAGGCTCGAATTTAACAAGACCAGGCGCCGTGGGTTTCGTTTAGAACTCTGTTCTGGTTTCAGAGAAATTTTACCAATACCATCATAATTATTTAAGAATTTGTTGTTTGCTGCTTTTCTTTCAATCCACCATTCCACATTGCCCAAATAATACACCTTGTTTACCGCACAAAGTTTATGCCTAAGCCTTGTTTTCAGTTTTCCTAGAAAAACCGGTAATACCTAGGAGAAACTGGAAACAATGGTTATGCAAAATTTTGTGAAGGTAAACAAATCTTATTATCGGCAATGTGAAAATGAACTAATTTAAGGATTACTGGGGCATTGTAATTAGACAGCGCATGCAAGACCTAAGGGATTTATTGCACTTTGCGCGCGTCAACACGCGCCAGTTGTATTTATAAGTGATCTATTACAATTATGATTAATAATAGCTTTAATAGCTTTCTGCAAACATTTTTTGTATAATTAAACAGGCCAAAAACAAATTGACGAAGGCTGTGAAAGATGGGGCGAAAAAAGCATCCGAAGATGCTGTTAAGACCTTTATCAAGGAGCCACTCAAAGCACAGATAAAATCAGGGATGCAGTCGCAAGTTATCCCTGATATTAAATCTGCGGCTACCAAGGCAGCACAAGCCGAGGTAATAAACCAATGCAACATGAAGCTCTAAGTAACAGAAAAATAAGACGTACAGAAAACCTCAAATTTATTCGGAAAGGGTTTTGCCTTTGCTCCAACTTTCGTCTACCGAGATATAATTATAATTATATATATGTCATTCAAACAGAAGAGACCAAACCCACTTTGGTGTAAAAAGTTGTTGGATAATTAATTAAAATATATTTTATCCCGAAGAAAAGAAGGGCATCAAAAAGGCACTTTATTTGGGTGTCAAATAATTTATCACGAAAGTACTAGTCGAGGAGTTTTCTTAAGTCTCCTTTCTACTAGAGGCGAAACCGCTATTTTACGACGTCATCTAAGCCACTCAAAGGTCTTGCCGTTTGGATGGCATGGGCAGTACCATCATTTCTCAGGTTTTTTAGATCCTGAGTGTTGGTACGACCCCGAGAATCAAACCCACTTTCTGCTCATTAGTCAAGCGCTCTACCGACTTAGCTAATCTTGCCGCGGTTTTCGTTGAAAATAACCAATGACAATTGACTTTGACTGTTTTTCCTCGCCAGACAACCGTCGTCTTCAATGACTGGTATCCCAGGATTGAGAAACACTTAGAAGTCCCAATAGAAGGCATTGCTACGCTAAAGAATTGGATGATGAAAAACGTAAAGCCTGAAGCGGTACAGAAATCTAAGGAAAAAGGTAAATAGCAGATGTCTTTACATGATCGATATTTGTTGCTTTTTTGTTCGTGGAGGTAACTAAACTGAGTTATATTTCCTCAAAGTAACGGTTAATACAATGAAAGACAAGGGAGGAGAATCTGTGAAACACTGTGATGCCTTTAAGGCGTAAAACACTGGGGATGTTCTCAAGAATTAGATCATCATTAACAACTGAAGCATCGAACCGATTGTATAAATCGATGATACTACCAAATTTGGAATACTGTTGTGCTGTTTTTCATGGCTGTGGTAAAGGAAATGAAGAAGAATTGGAACGCCTGCAGAGACGTGCTGCTATGATAGTGCTAAAGACGGTACATTTGTCCACTCAAGATATAGCTTCCAGTCTTGGTTGGGACCCTCTTAAGACGAGAAGAGAGAAACATATCGTCAAACTTGTCAAGAATTGTCTTGATGGACAAGCTCCAAGTTATTTCTCAGATTATTTTCGACGGCGAACTTATGATATTCATGACTATGATACTAGGTCTAGGGATAGGTTATCTATTGATAAAGTCAATCTCGAGTTGACTAAGAGGGTCTTTTTTTTATAAGGGGGCTACCCTTTTTAATGATTGTATGTTGTTTTGATCATAAAGAGGCTACCTTTTTTCATTGATTATAATTATGTAACGTATCTCAGTTTCGTATATAATTAATGTTTTTATCTATTTATTCATTTATTTTTATACAGGACCCATATTGAGAGCAGTTTTTATAACTGAAATGGTCATCCTGTTTAAACATGTTATTATTATTATTTATAGAATAACTGAGATAGTACGCGTGATCTGATTGGTAAAAAACCTATGGTTTATTATACCGGTAAACCTATAGAAAAAGGCATCCGGACCACGAGCCATAAACAAAACCGTCTATTGATCTGCAAACAATGATTTTAGAAAGGCTAAAAAACAGAACAAGTTACTTAGCCAGCCCTTCTTAATATCAAAAGCGTTGGTTTCCACATTTTATTACTGCCATAGCTTTAGAAGAAATAAAGTACAAAGCTGGAAAGCAGTTTACATTTCACGACGATGCCAAATCGCAGAGAAAGACAACAACTGTGTGAATTTCTGGTGTAGAAAGTCTCCAGGGAAACTTAACCATGTGCCAACCAGCAACAAAACGGATAGTTTTAGCATTCTTGATTTATTTTGTCATAATTAAATTCCTTAATGAAAGAAATTGTTCCAAAAAGAGATCTCTGATCAAGATGTAGTACAAAATCGGCTGCTGTAGGTTGTAAACAAGCTGCCAACGATGATGAAAGATGTCAGAGTTTCGGGCTGGTTTTTTCCAACATTTGCACAAATTATTCGGTGATTATCGATGCCATAACCTACCTCAAACCACCTGACTTTACAAATCGACAAATGTTAACGCCAATATGTGGCTACGGCAAAGAAACCTTTCTCCATTACTGACATATTTCCATCGGTCGCTGTACGTGCATATAAAGTTACATGCAATAACTTCGCAAATGCAGCCACGTCGTTACCGCAGCATTTCTTAATCATAATAAAGTCCAGAAACAGATCTTAAACCACTGCGGCTTGTAAAATGTGAATGAAGTCCTCCATTACAATAGCTGCCAGTTCCGTCTGTAAGCACGAAATTCTTTATACGGATCGACTCAACAAAATACAACTGCGTACAGGCTGATTTTCAATTTATAGTTTCTACTTCTGTAGTAAACAACCATGAACGTATTCTTTCATTGTACGTTCGCATGAATAAATGTTGACTTTTCCTGTAAAACAGCTTACATAAGTTATCATGCAATGAGTGCAAAAACTCGTGTTTTGAAGTGCTGCTGTCTGTTGTTTGACTGAACTGAGTTTTGAGAAAATTCAGCGCTATTAAATCGTGAGTCATGATTGACTTATGATGACTTTAGAGAGAAGACATGACTTGATCACGTTATTAAAACCATAGTTTTTACCTAAAAGACTCCATTCTACTAAAAGCTTGTAAATCACTCGCCTTCGGCTCGTGATTTACAAGCTATTCTCGTGTTCTCCCAACATCCCCCGTGGGTTATCACGCCGGTAAACCCATAGAAAGTGTGGTCTATTGCTTAATAAATTGCCAAGTTTTCCCTAATTCTATCGAACCGGAGTTGAGCGTTATATGTTCACCAATGTTTTGCCTTGGATCCTTATTCTTAAGTAAGCGAGGCTTGTCACTGCGTAGAACGTGAGCTAGTGTCAAGTAGGTGGATAGGACAGTCATCCTTGACTCTCGTTTAAGTCTAGGCAACACAAAATAAACCCCAGCACAACACTATTACAACGACAATAACGCTGGACATTTTAATAAAGAAGTAACCAACTCCCCCTGCCCTCTACCCAAGTCCCCATTTTTCCCAACCTCCATTTTGGCAGAACATGTTTTCAAGTATGGACGTTTTAGGGTCCCCTTTCATAGATCCCTAACCTTTGCTGATTAATTTTTTTACTGAGTGTACCCGGTATCCTTTTTCAACTTATATACCTCTTCTCCCCCTGTCAGATAGATCTGCCCCTAAATTCCGCCTGCAAGAGAAAGCTTGTTATGGTTTTGTAATTAATGTCACTTTGCTTTTGATTCCAGCTGTTGCTGCGGCTAATGCTGCCATGCAGCTCCCTCCTAACCAGATAAAGATCATGAACATCTCATCGGACGCAAAAGATCAGGTTTTGCGCCAGTACAGGGAGCAGATAAAGAAAACTGCAGATCAGGCTGCAAGTGATTACATTAAGAAGGTTTTGGCTGAAAAAAGAGCAAGAAAGTAGAGATTAATATTTATAAGAAGGCCAATGAATACTGGACGTTTTCTTTTTGGTTGATCCCTCTAAGTATTTTCTTCTTTTTCAAAAATAGTTTTCCATAATTACACGTGATAGGTAGGGTATATTGTCTTTGTTGATTGACCCTATCAGACGACAATGAAAATAGCCAATTATCAGTCACAAGTATGTAGAAAGTAATTTGTCATTAAACGCCATGGATTATAGCTCTGCAGCGAAAGTAACATATTCATTGTGAAAAGTAACTAAAGAAATCAATTGACGTCGGATATTATTGACTTAAAGAGTATCAAAAGCTAATATTGCACGATCAAATCTGCTTGTAGCTAAAGAAATGTTATAGACAAAGTACTTGAGAATAATTGATGATACAGTAGGTTAATTTCTTTAAAAATAGCTTTTAAAGCTGGTAAAAATTGAAGCTGTTATAAAAATTATACTCAGTCTGACACTTAGCAATTATTGGATGAGGATGAGTATGTTATGAAGAATTGTACAGATCGGCAAACATCTCAGTTTTGTCAGCGCTACCTAGTTAAGAAAAACTAGCCCGGGAATTCAAGCCAGTCATATGGGGAAATATTTTGAATGAATAATACAGTGAGTTACTGTCTAAATTAACACCAACAAAATCTTCCTTGCGTGCGGAGCAATATATAAATGAGCCATTCCTAAAGAAAATGAACTACAATTTTCCCAACAGCGAGTGAACAAATCAAGATCTAATGGAAAAATATCCCCTCAACTGACGTATCCACAGTATATGGATGAATCAAGTAGAAAACTATGTAGTTTCTACATATTTTTAGGGAGCAAAAAGAAGTTTGGGGCACATGGTGTTAAAGCCAATAACCAAAGTCAAAAGAAGAAAGGTGCTTGAAGGGGAGGAATTTGTAATGCTAGAATCCGGAATTAGCCACCTTTGAAATACCACCTAAACCAATAATACGGAATAGTGTCACATAAAACCCTGTCAAGGGTATTCTGTACTATTATGGAATTTACTTAACTTTATAATAGGAATACATTAATATTTTCGAACATGTGTCAGTTTATCTGCCAAAGAATACAGAAACGTTTTCAATGCGCTGAGATCACCGAATAATCATGCAGTTGCTGAAATAGAATGGATCCCACCACACTTGATTTTAGCTTGGCGATCAAAGGTATAAATTGCCAATTTGACTTCCTTTGACCCCTCTGAAAATTTAAATGACTTTTCTGCGAAAAAAATTCGTAAGCCTTTAAGTGGTAAGATCTTTAAGTGGTGAGCTTACAGAGATCTAGCTTCCCGCTACTAGATATGTTTCTTAATCTTAAACTACTGTAAAAAGAGATATGAGTGGCAAAGTAAATGAATGAATGAATGAATGATTGATCGTTTGATTGATTGGTTGATTGATTAATTGATTGATTGATTGAATGAACGAATGAATGAATGAATGTGTCAACAAAAGAGAATAGTAGAATGTATACAGTTATTTCGAGAAAGGTTAAAAATGTGCACGCGACAATCCCGAAAGGTAATATGGGATATGATCAATACACTGTTCCTGACGACTGTAGCTGTCGAACATACTTTTGTAGCTTTCCTTAAGCACTCGCAAACATATGTCCGTGGCCTCCCGTGCCATTTTTTCAAATTTCTTTGAAGAGCAGAGCACTCAAAACCACCCACAATACCTTTCGGGATTGTCGCGTGCACTTTTTCCGACAACCTTTCTCGAAATAGCTGTATAGATAAAGCAAGGTCTAAAAGCAAAGCCTCTGATAATATACTCATAAAGAAGCAGTAAACTTTAACACATGTCAAAGAACCGAACCTGTTTGACAGGTCGCGGACGCCTAGAGCTCCCAAGCAGCCGTTCTTTTCATGGTTTCGCAAAGTTGGAGGAGCGTCGCGCGACGAGACAAAGAACGGCTTCGTAGAGGTCTAACCGACGCGGCGCTCGTGTGTGTATGTTTTTTTGCTTGTTTCTTTGAGTTTTTGCACGTTTATATACGTAGGTGAAAGTAATAGATTGTTCACCTTACTTTATTAAGAATTTTAAAAGTTGTTTGCTTGTATAAGTGCAGAATTAGTACTGTGGGCTTAAAGGGGCGAAATTCAACCTCTGGCGTTGCGCAGGGGAGCATTTTAGGCCCCCTGTTGTTCACTTTGTTCATAAATGATCTGCCGGACGAAGCTGCTTACGGCGTGAAGGTTGTACTCTACGCCGACGACACCAAGCTATACCGAAACGTTTCGTCTGCAGAACACTGTGACCTCATACAAGACACTCTCTCTAATATGCACGTCTGGTCGCATCGCAAAAATATTAGATTTAATACGTCCAAATGTAAAGTACTAACTGTGACTAGGAAAAAGACTCCGATTGCTTCTGACTACACTCTTGACTGCACAGCCCTGACACGCTTTTCAGAAGAAAACGATCTTGGCGTCATCATAACTACTACGCTCTCTTGGGACTCACACATTCGCACTATCACTGCGAAAGCAAACAAGCTTCTTGGTTTGCTTAAACAGACTTGTCCTCTGCTTACTGGCGTCTCTGTTAGGCGCTCACTTTATTTGTCTTTGGTCAAGTCACAGCTGTGTTACGCCAACCAAGTCTGGTGGCCCGTTTACGTTACTCTGAATGCTAAGGTGGAACAGGTGCAGAGACGTGCAAGCAGGTGGATTTTACGCAAGCGCAGAGACGAGTCGTCATACAAAGAGCGACTGACTTTGCTAGACTTACTTCCACTTTCTCTAGATCGTGAACTTAAAGATTTGATCTTTTTTTTTATAAATGCCTTTACTGTAGTACCGATTTAGATGTTCGGAATTATGTATCTTTTGTTTCCCATGATCGTACAAGACTAAGTAACTCCTTTAATCTTCGCACCCCTTTTTGCAAAACATCAGCTTTTCAGGCTTCGTACTTAAACCGTATAGTTAAACTATGGAACTAAGTAAGCTAGCACCCCCAACCAGTTTTTCCTCGCCTACTGCCGTTCAACTTTTTGTTCGCAAATTAATGAGCACTCACCTGTCGCGGGGTATATGAAATCAATTACCCCTGCACGTGGACACTAGGCCCTACGTGCCCATGCCACTCGTAATTTATTTTGTTTTTTTGGTACGAATGTTTGAGTACGGTATTCATTTTATTTTATTTTAACCTAGGTCTTAATCTAGCGGTGGTGCCTGCATGAGACGTTAGTCCCGTTGCACCTACCCCTTTTGGGTTTTTGCTTCTTTTCTTTTTTCTTTTTTTTTGTGTGTGTCTGTGTTGTATTATAAATTTATATTGTATATTACAAGAGGAGTGCTCAATAGAGCTGTGGAAAATAAGGAGACTTTCTGGAACCTGACAGACGGGGCGTTCAAATTGGCGATTTAGCAAACTAAGAATAAAAATTGTTTAAGGGGAAATTGAAAAGCGAGTTAAAAATAAAACTGACCAGGAAGTCTAATATCGTGTTCCTTTATTGGCGAGGCAAGTGCTTGCCCCTTCCTTAAAAAAAAGAAATCCGTGCTTAGCTTCGCGAGACGCCACCAAGTTCGACCACGTTTTCCTTTTTCTCTGAAGGTTTTTAGCTTCCATTTGAGTCCTTTCAGAAACTTTTCTATGAATAAACGTATTTTGTATAAAGAAAAACTCCAGTATATCACTTTTATTTTCGTTCTTGCAGTTCTGTAAAAAGTATATTTTATTTTTTATTTAAGGACTAACTTCAAGGGCAGTTTTTTCGTTAAATTAGAAAACTGGTTTGACAAGCTGTCATCTCCTTAGCCAATCACAGTCTCGTCACGCTCAGTGTTGAGAAAAAAATATCCGTAACACGCTATTCACTTTCCTACGGGCCAGTCAAAATACGGCAGAACTCATAAGAACACTCAGCGATACCACCAAAACATCTAATAATTTTAAACCTGATAACGCTGGGTCATACATCTCGAATCTTAAAATGACTTTTATAACAAACATTACATGTACCGAAAATAATGTTACTTATTAATTTTATATCCAGCATTTTCTTGGCTATTTGCATTTCATTTCACAGTTCTTTGGGTGACATATTTCCAAGGGGTGCCCAGTGGGGAAGTAGGGAGTGGGATGGGGGATAACTGTCCCTATTTAGACTTCATTACCAAAGCCAAATAGGACAAGAATAGCAGTTAGAGGCTGTACTGTGCTGTACAAACTCATGCATTTCATTTTGCGGCAGTGGAAGAACACGAAAAGCTAAAATCTTAAACTCAGACCTTCAGCTGTCGGTAAACAAAATCCACAGATCTAGATGAATTCACCTGTCAACAGTTTTGATCAATCTGAGACAACAGATTAGATTAATGGTCCTGGATCGTGACCAAAAGTGTGTCGGAGGTAAAAGCAAAGCCTTAAAATTCAGTTTTAAGGTTTGTCAGGAGTAGAATACAAGAAACTTCAAGATTTTTACTGGACCAGCTCCATTGTTGTCACAAGACTGGTTTGCTTTTCGCCAAGATAAACTGATGCAAGTTGTATATTTGGGATTCCGGCTCCCAAAAACGAAGCCCTCCCTCAACCTCCCCGAGGGGAGAGCGGCTACAGACGCACGGGTGCGCTGGCGTATGGCGTGATAACCCTTTACTTTCTCTCTCATCCGTTGGATTCCCAGAAGGCTAACAGTTTGTGTAGCAATGGAGGTTACGCCATTATAGGTGTCACCGTTGAGCTGCTATTCCTCTGAAATTTCTGACCACCTTTCAACAAAAGAATTGCGTAAAAGGGCTAAAACTACAAGAAAAAGATTTTACGGATTCACATACATCAGTCTAATTTAGAACATTTAGGGTGTTTAATTCGCATTCACAGGCGCTAAAACACACCAGTTCCTGACCTCGAGGGCAATCATTCGGATACAATATCTGCAAAGTATTCACTGACAATTTTGGATTCAAAATCCCCCGACACGCGACGAAATCGGGACGGTTTCATTTTGCTTGTAAATCAAACATTTCTGGACTTTCAAATCAGCAAAAATTTCCTCTGTGTAAACCTAGGAATGCCTGAGCGTCATTGATAACTTAGTGAAACGCTTATCGTGCTCTAAACATTTTCTTCATATTTTTTGTCACAACTAAGGTTTTTGAGGTGATTTAAACCTCAGTGAGTAAACGATGACTTAATAATTGTATCCGATGAATCTCCTCTTGTCTTCACAACTGAAAAGCATTTTCTCTCGATGCAACAAATGAGATCTTTTCGGATTTCTTAAAGTACGGCCTGCCAGCTTCAACGAGCAATGTAAATTTTGAATCGGCGATTGCAAGCTTTCCTTTTCTCTCAACGGACAAAGAACGATATAACGCAATGTAATGGTTGAATTTGTTTACCTGCTTAACAGGCAGACAGGAAAATGACGCTTCAGAACTCTGCCAGACTCTTTGCTGCGTGCCATTACACGCCAAACCGCACTAGGCACTTTGCAATGGTTGATCATGTGATCAACTTTCTGTAGCTGGAACTGAAGGAGCATATCAAAATCAGGTAGCTTGTAAATTTTAAGCCGGATTTCTCAAAAGCAGCGATTGCAACGGCGGCTGAAAATTAAAAGGATTTTTTATGGAAAAATAACTCTTTCCACCCAGTCACGGTCGAGTGGGCTCCTTCAAATCCTTCTAATTTTCGCTACTTTTGAGATATACGACATATACGGCTGGAAATCTAGGGATTACCTAATTTAAATAAACTCTTTCTGTACATGCTAACAAAATTTTCCAAAAGCGATCCATTTTCCTGTTTACAGAATGTTGATCACGTGACCAACCTTTGAAATGCCTATTGCCCCTGAAAAATACAAACAACAGCCGACGGCACACACGCTTGATCTAAAGTAACAAGACAAATTTTTTGGATCTGATCCACCATTGTAAAGAATAGCCGGCTGCCTTGTCAAGACTCGCTTAGACCCGTCAGCAATAATCAAATCAATCAATCAATCAATAAATGAAATTCGGATGGATTCATCAACAAACCTTCATAATAATCAATACCAAAGCGCGTACAAAATTGAATTTGTCTTAACACACAAATAATGACCGGGAAAGTTTTATCTAGATGAAAAGAAGACAGGAGGTAAAATAATAAAATGATGAAGTTGTAACTTTCAGGCCTTTTAGCGATAAACTTTTCGCAACAGCTTATCGACTTTCACTAAACACGAAAACAATGACCATGACTGTTTGGCCTTACTCGGTACCCTGCGCGCGTGAAACAATAATATCGCGAGACGATAAGCGCTTAGTAGTGACATGCGAACTAGCAGTTCGAATGTATCGAGAGCTTGCAGGCAGTGGATATATGCTATCTACGAAATTTTCTGTATAATAAAAAGTTTGAAACTCGCCTTAGCAAGACAAAACGAAAAATTTGCCCAATTTCCCTAGCTAAAACGGAATCGATTAACAATATTATTGTTGCTTAAATAAACCGACAAAACAAATGGAAGACCACTGAAAAAATAATAAATAAATAAGGAAGACCACACAGGTTCAGGAGGAAATTATCCTAAATTATTTCGCCCGTTTAACAATTAGTTACCAGTTTATCTTGCCCGGAGAGGAAAAGTAATTTATCTGCTAACCACTTGACAGCCAGGCTTCCAACGTCAAATTTTGCGATTTGGATCAAGGAAGCTGTCACTACCCCAGACCTTCCTACTCCCCGCCTCACGGGGTCAAGATTGACAAGTGCATTACGTTTAACTGAGTATAAAACAAGCCAGAGCAAAGGACCTTATAAGAACATTTATTATAAGTCAGAGGGCAAGAGCATCGAAGTATTGGTGAGTACAAGGCATTTCATTTGATGAGCAAATTTATATAAAATATATATGTAACTTTCAGTTTACAGCTCATTAATTGACCCTTACTTGACTTATGGTATTTGTGGTTGGGGAAACTGTACCTCGGACATTTCAAAGAAAGATCGTAACTCTACAAAAACGGGCCTTACGTCTCATTTACTTCAGTAAGTCTAAGGAACACACCGTACCCTCTTTTCCAAATCAAATTGCCTTCCACTGCCTTGCCTATTTTTCAGAGATTGTAGCTATTTACCGTATGATATCAACAGACAGGCAGCACCAGTTAGTATACTCAATCAGTTCGTTAAAACAAGTCAGATTCATAACTACAGAACAAGATCTGTCTTTAGCGACTCGTTTTATGATAAGCTCTCTAGAACCGATAAAATGTATGCCTTTTTCACGATGATCGGTGCCTAAATTTGGAATTCTATTCCTTATTCGATTAACATACTTAAAAGTTCGTCCATTCGTAAAAAAATAAAGGAATTATTACTAAATTTCTTGCGGTCAGAGAATGATTATGTCGAAGTCTCCCGTCTTATTAAGTTATTTAATACTTTAGGTTAGCCTCTCTTCGTAATCGTTATGTACTTGCCTTGTTTTATGTTAGTTTAAATTCTATTTACTGTATAGTAGTGTCTTCACTGTTATTTAGTCCATCTATATATAAATCTTGTTTTGTAATATGTCTTCAGCTCCCCCCGCCTCGATTAGTTTATAAGCTATTTGCGGGTGGGAGAGTAATGTAATTAGTTATTTTCCAATTTTCAATAAAATTTGTTGTCGTGGTTGTTGTTTGTATGAGATTTGCGAAATATTTAATCGCTCAGAAAGTTAAGTTATACACAGAGGAACTGAGTTAGCGACGAATCTTGCAAATCTTTATATTACAAAGTTCTCTCTTTCTCAAAGGTACCATGGCTACTCTTTTTGAAATGGTGGAAGTAATTTTAGAAGAAACGGTTGAAGCAAGTGTTGCAAAAGCTATGGAAGAAGGTGCAGAAACCGAAGTCATACAAGCGGCCCTTGCTGAAGTTATCAACAATGAGAACGTTAACGTTGAAGTTGAAACTGAGGTAAAGCAAAAAATTAATTCGCTTTTGTTTGTCTTTTGAAAAGCGAAGTTTTGAAGCAAAATGATTCGTACAGAGAGCTTCTATGAAGACAAAGAATTTCCAGGAAAGTTTTTCCGCCAGGCTTTATTAGAAGTTACATTTATTGCTCATACAAGTAGCCTTGCTATGATGAAATCAGTCGGTCTTTGTGACTCTTTCGGGACTCAATATTTCATTCAAATGAGATGCTTATTGTGGACTGCCTCACAGTGAAATTGCTCGTTGTAACCTCCTTATTAAAGGCAACCCAATACAAAAAGTATACCAAAGGACGTTAACTGTGCTCATACATCACTGAACTGAACCAATATTCTATCAGCTTTTTGGTTTCCAGTAACACATACTTAATTTTGCATTTACTAATCGAATGGATGTCTTTTAAAGGCATGCAGCACGCTAATCTTATGCTAGTATATCTTATATAATAATAATAATAATAATAATAATAATAATAATAATGATAATAATGCCACTGAACAGTTTTCAGGACCAATTTCTCAAGTGAGGGTGGAGGAAAGTGTTCACATCAACTGCAACCTTCCGGCTTCAAGATCTTTGAAGGAAAGTAACAACTCTTTCTAGGTGGACGACGTCGAGACCATGAGTGTCCATAACAGCGAGAGTCCGTAATAATGAGAGTTTGTTGGAATTCTGCTATTCGTATTATCGGGTTGTCCATAAAAGTAAGGTGTCCTTCAGGCGAAAGTTGATTGTAGAAGCAAAATATTTTGAAAGTTTTACTAGTAGCACGGGTAACGAAGAAATATTGTAAAGGCTTGACAACCCTGACTCACGCCTTCTACCAAAGTGTTTATAGCTTTTAATTCGCAGAGTTTTAGAGACTTTCCTCTTTTGTGCGATATTATTGGAGGTTCTTGGTAGATCTGTCTTAGAAGAGTTTGGTTCTCTCCAGTGTTTCATAAGAATGTTTTTAAGGGGTAGGGACTGATAGTTGACATTGCGGGACAAAGGCAAAATGGTTTTTTCTCTTGAAAGGTTTTAGTTGACGTGCCTCTTTCCTGTTTTCAAAGTGTATTTCAGAGAGATAGAGAGAAAGATTTATTAAATTCTGTGGATATCTTCTCTCTCCAAGGTGCTTTTGAAATTCCTTTAGTCTTTTCTGAAAACTTTCTTTTGAGAAATTTGTTCTGGGCAGCCGGAGAGCGTCCCTTTGATAAAGCCTCTCTTTACCCATAACGGAATTGTGTATAACGAAATGCTTCGCTTGGCGTAAAATGTGTTCCTACGCCGAGCATTGACGTACTGTTTCTAAGTTTGTCATCAAGATACTTACAAAAGAAACAGCGACCTTTGTTCCCATCGCTGTCCCATGTGTTTGATGATCGTTTTTTCGATTTCAAAAATTGGAATGAATTTTCCTCCTAGAGGACTAATGTGACCGCTCGTTAAAGTGACTGTGAAGGAATCTGTCTATCGATCTGTGAAGTGGAAATCATTGTTGTGATTGTGGCCGTATCACAGGCAGCTTTGATATAAATGCTCGTCTTTATCATCGTCATCATAAAGCATCCTCAATAATAATGACAATACACTGTCATTATTGTTATTGTTATTGTTATTGTTATCGTTATCGTTATCGGTATCGTTATCGTTATCGTTATCGTTATCGTTATCGTTATCGTTATCGTTATCGTTATCGTTATCGTTATCGTTATCGTTATCGTTATCGTTATCGTTATCGTTATCGTTATCGTTATCGTTATCGTTATTGTTATTGTTATTGTTATAATAATGATAATTATTTGGTTGTCGAAACGTCAGTCGCTTTCAACAACAACAGTCCTATCCAGGACTACGTTCACCCCGACGATCAAAGTCAATCTACTTTTGAAATGACTCCTGGGTTCAAACCTTTCACATTACTTTTATCATTATTATTACTATTATTATTATTATTATTATTATTTTATTTTTATTTTATTTTTTGTTGTTGTTGTTCAACAGAAAGGTCTAGTTCGTTTTGAAATGATTCCGCATTCCAGATTCTACTTCTTTTCGGATTCCGGCATTCCGAATTCCATGTTTTAGGCAAACGGCTTTTGACGACTGAATATACCATTTTCGATATATACAATTCATAATTGGCTCCGAGGCTTGGGGTAGTAAAACAAAAGAAATGTATTATTCATTGCTGAGCCTCAAGATTATTTCTTTTGTTTTATTCTCCCAAGCCTCGCAGCCAAGTATATATCGGAATTGGTCTATTTAAGAACTGTTAAATGTTCGACGGTAGCCTCGTGTTTAAATCAAAGTGCATTGTCTTGTCTTGGGCGTCACAGACTGCCGCAACGAATACGAAAGGACTTGGGCCTCAGAACGCTTCTTTTGGCTTTGTTCAATTTATTTAGGAGCTAGCACAAGGCGCAATTGAGGGAGAAATTCAAGCACAAGTTGAGGAAAACGTCGAGTGTGCGGTAGAGAACGAGGTGGAAAATGCTGTTGAGGAGGCGGGAGAAGGCTTCTGGCGCAACATGATGAGAGACAAAGTTCTCCCAGGTCAGCAACGTTTACAAACAACACTAAGGCCCTCATTTTCCGCAAGCAGGGATAGTCTAACGAGAGAGATAAGCGAGAGTGGGTGACTACCGGGTTGGAGGGGGGAGAAGGGTGTATTGGGACAGAAATTGTTAAGTTCGCTACCCTTTTTAAGACAAAAGTCTAATCACATGATCCTTCATTTCGTTTCGCACACAGAAGTACGTACTTTTTAAACTAACATCATGTATTTAGATTTTTTAAAAAAAAAAACCTTCTCGGTACCACTCATGAAGACCGCCTACCACTAACCTTCAAAGTCTTTTCAAGGCTGCCGGTTCAAACAGACACCCTGTTCAAGTAGCACAAATAAGGGAGTCTCCCCGGGGGATGAAAATCACTACCCGCGAGGAAAGACGACACGCGGCAGTGAAAAATGATAGTTTTCGTGCGCGCTCGCGTATTATCTGAACAAAAATAAAAGACTCATTAGGGCAGTGGTAATAAAACAAGCTAACAAGCGCTGTGATGACACGGTGCTTGAAAATTGCTCTACACGGTTTTTCCAGTTGTTATTGCAGGCATTATTAATGGGCTGGTAATAGAAGGAATATCAAGAGCTATCGATGCGTCAAAGGCTACTAAAGGTGAAGGAAGTCCCAACGAAAACACGGAAAGTAAGTACTGAAGCGTTTTGTAAAATTATGCTCTGAAAGCCTTACGTGTATGCCAACAAAATGAGCACGGACAGGAGCGCAGAGAATGGCTGAAAAGTTATATAAGTAAGTGGAATATGATCGTCCGGTTGAGTATTACATTGTCCTGATAGGATTCTTTTAATGTTGTTCTGGACGGTGAATAACATTTCGACAATATGTGCGAAAGTCGCTTTCACTTGAAATACTAGTTTTCAGTTATAGGAAAAACAAAAAAATAAAGCCAGAAAACGTTTTTTGTTTATTAGTGGCCTAGTGGTCTGCATAACTTTTGATCTTATCAACAGTATTTCAAAGGGGCAGATGGAGCTGATCTTATTATAAATATATTTTAAAATTTAAAGCTGAATTACCTTTGAACTCAGTGTAGTTATTATTTTTGACCCTCAATACTTTGTCCTCAGAGGAACAAGTAGCTGCCTCTAAAGTGCTGAGGACCGTAGAGGGGGTCAGCAAATGCTGGAAGACAAAACTTGAAGAGTATCAAAAGAGTGGTACAGAATTGGGTACATTCTTGTACAAGGGAGTCGATGAGAGTGTTGGTAAAACTTTGGGAGTTCTTGTCAGCAGCATGAAAACGGTACGTAGTCTACAGACTTTGCAAGGTTTGATCATAAAAAGTGTCTGTGCAAGCTGCAAGCGTGAAGTCCTATAGTTTGGGGGTTTCTATTTTGTCTTATGCTCACATTTGGCAGATCTCAGAACAAAAAATCAACTGATAGCTGGGTAATTGGCTGACATGTTTACTTATAGCCATTTTAGTAATAAATCGTCAAAACTATCATGACCCTACTGAACTGATAACTAATGGGGTATTTACATGAGGCTGGACTTACTCAGATCGGCTGAAGGTCGTATCGGTCGCTGATCCGACACGAGTTACTTTCGTACTGCTCTGAGGACGTACCGTTCTCTTGTAAAACCGGAAAGACCGGGTCCCTGATAATAATAATAATAATAATAATAATAATAACAACAACAATAATAAAAATAAAATACATAACAAACGTTACAGAGAGTAAAAGTATACAAATCATGAAAATCGCACAGATCATTCACAATCATTATGTAAAACCTGATAAAACATTGGATATCTATACTGTTAAATTGCCAAGTTGCATTGAAACCTTATTCTATTAAAATAGCAACTCTTAAAACGTTCTGTATTAATCCGTGACTTGTTTGTGATCTTAACTTCTTGGATGACTCTTTGACTTTCGGCAAAAGGGCATATAATGGGTGGTTAACATTGTTCTTAATTTTGGTGAACAACCTGCGGTCACACTTCTCTAAAAAGTCAAAGATATTAATTAACTAACAAGTGTAACGTCGCTTATTGCACCTTTTTAAAAAACATTGTATGGTGTTTAAATCTACGTGGCTGGCTCCATATACTGGAAGTGCGTAGGTGAACTTTGGCAGAACAATAGCCTTAAAGAGATGATCTATCCCTACCTGCGTGTATCCATCGTTTCTTAGTGATCTTAAAATGTTTAAACACTTGTTTGCTTCCCGAAGCTTTCCCTTAACATGAGATGAAAACTTATAGTCGTTTTGTAATGTGACACCTAATAGAGTAAAACTGTCACTCTGTTCTATACCACATAGTGGGGGAAAATTAGGTGTGACACCTTTTTAAGTTATACAGAGGTCTTTGCTTTTGCTTGTGATTAACCTCTGTCCACTCCAAAAATACATTTAGTGCCTTTTGTGATTCATCTACACTATTCTTACGCACAGTCAAAAGAATAGAAGTGTCGTCTGCATACTTAGTAAGATCGCTATCCTGGCAGTACTGAGCGACGTCGAGATCGTTTAAGAACAGGTTAAACAAATACGGGCCGCTGACGCTTCCCTGCTATGATCAGTACTATGGCGGCGGGAATTACGACTCAACCCAACTCTTTTGCCTCGGTAGCGTAGTAAGCCAGCATTTTTGAGTTCGCCTAGAATGGAAGTTCTGAAGGTGGTTTTGGAACGACCACGCAACTTGAATAAACCTGATCTTGAGTATCGCAAACATGTTCCCGGCAAAGATGGCGGCTCGGAGAGGTTCACTGTAGGCAAGGTTTCGGCGTTTCCATATCAGGCCCTGGATTCCTAGCCACATCCATACACACGGTAATATCGAACACAGGTTCAAAATCAGGAGCCGCTAAGCACATGTACCCATGTTTTGACCAAGCAAGAAATCCACGGTGAAGATGGATTGACTTCGGCGCTAGCCGACTCCTATCGGTGGAAGTGATAAGTTGGAATGAAATCGGCCAGTCAGCATGATTTCTTCCTTTCCAAATCACGAGGTTACGTGCATTAGATGAATAATAAAAATCATGACTATACAGAGCAAGATAAGGAACGATACAGTGAAAGCAAAAAGCGAAAACTCGGTGAGCATTAATAAAGCATGTGGCCGCCATGATAGGCGCCTGGTGGATTTCTTTGTATCTCTATCATTTTTGCTGTTTCCAAGCAAAAATAGCAACACTAATACGGATTACATCAGTAACCAAGACTGTAGTTTCAATCAAATATATTATGCTTGGGATAATGTGAGGGATTGAACCATTTTGTCCGGAGATACTGTACAGTAAACTTAAACAGGACAGCAGATATGTGCATTATATTTTTCTGAGGGCAGTAAACTCTAAGGTTGTGTATTGGCGTAAATGGTGACCCAGTTAGTGCATAATGGAATTTTCAAAGTCATATAGCTCCAAAAATCTGCAGTTTTTTGAGTTCGTACTGGTGTCATGTAATCGACTAAGCATTTCGTCCCAGTCTGACTCATGTATACGGCTGCAAACATTACAAATTCGTACCGGTCTGAGTTCGTCGCGTCTCTTGTAAATACGCTCTTAATTTCCGAGCTCCCCAAGACAGACCTTTTGCTTGTAATGAGGATTAGTTCAAACCCTTATCTTCTGTTTAGTATTTTTGTGACTGAGTAAAAAATTGTTTGTCTCGCTTGGTATGGTACTTTTTTCTTTAGTGTTCAGTGAAAATGTCGTTAAAACTGACCAAATTTTCACTTACACTACTTCAGAGAAAAACGTGGAGTTCAAGCCAAACATGATTGTTTTACTGATAATACAGCATCTTTTTCCACAGGAACTTGAATCGGCTAATGACATAGCCGTAAAGAGTACGGCTCACAAGACTTGGAACCAAGACATAGAAGAGTTTAAATGGCGCGTAGCAGAAGCTTGCGAATGTCTTCTAGCTGTCTTTGAGGTTAAGAAAACGGCTGCAAACTTACAAAAATTAGGTTTTCCTCCGGATTCCGACAAGAAAGCACTAGAAACTGTCCTTGAAGAACAAATGCCTAACTACAAGGCTATCATTAAAGCTGAGGTGAGACAAACACTTTGGCATGGCCACATGGAACTAATAAAAAATTATGTCTAATGAGAAACATTTGCTACTAAGAGACGTGAGAGCTTACTACTCATGATAATGGTCACAAAATACGGACCAAAGTCCCATCCTTCTATAAAATGAGATCTGTATAACACTAGCTGCAATATATAACTTTCTGGCAATTTTATTCATAATAATAGTAGAATACCTAAGCCCTTTAGTTTTGTTGCGGAAAATAAAAGTAAAGAGCTCGATCAACAGAACTAAGTTGAACTTTTGCCGCCCATTATCATCAATGCTAGTGAACAGAACATTTCTGTTGCCTGCTTTGCTGAGATTATTCGTTGTTCAAGGAAGGTGAATTCAATAATCCCATCACGCCCTAGGAAGGATAATTTGACATGGCGTTATTTAAACAGGCAAAACTTTTAAAAAGACACACAAACCTTTGAACAGCACACGAGTCTACTTCAATTATGACATACAAACATAGGTTAATTGGATAACCGCGGGAGGTTTTTACAGAAGTAAGCAATATGTTTCTTCCTAGAATCGTTCTTTTGTTTTCTGTATCGAAAAATATCTATCGCATGAATACTGGGCTATAATTACAGTGTTTATTATCATTATCATTATTTTCAAATCGTCACGATACGTTTTTATGGTCGTAACTCTGTTTATATGTGCCGCTCAGGAGGGTTAAATCTATAAAAAAAAAAAAATAGCCAATTAGAAGGATCTCAATTTCTTCTACGCCTCAGCCAGAAATATGGCGATTTTTATTTCCTCTGGTAGTTATTAAGCTTGACAATTAAAGGCTTTTGAGACACGCCTATGATTGAGCTGTCCAGTGGCCCCTCAGCAAACCGGGTTCCGGCTCATAACTGGCAAGGCTGCTTATCTTACGGAGCCTAGAGAGGTCAAAACTGGCAGGAAAAAGAAAATCACTTCTCAGACTTGTCGGTAAATTAAAGACGATCTCTGTGCAATTTTCGCAACTTGTAGTGATCTTAACATTTGATTTCATTCAAAAGGTCTCGAGACACCTCCAGGCTGCGGTTGGCGGTGTTGCCCGAGACAACGCATCAAAAGCTGTCAAAGCTTTGATCTGTGAACCACTCACAACGAAAATCAAGGCTGGTTTTAACGCTGATGTACGTCCTGACGTAATAAAGGAGGCTAAGAAAGCAGCCAAAGCTGAGGCGACTGCTGTTATAAACAGCAAAATGGCAGACATTAACAAACATGCGGCGATTCCAGTATATGGCATTGTCACTCTGAAATCATGGATGGAGAAAAATGTGGAACCTGTTGCAATTAAAGCAGCAACTACCAAAGGTACGTCTTGAGATCATGTCCGAACAAGAAAGGGGTATGGAGTAATATCGATGCAACACCCTTTTTTCTCTCTAATTCTTTCAAAAGGATTTGACTGCAGAATCTCTTCTCTCCAATACCATTCGTATTTCTCCTAATTCATACTGGCAAACGTCGGTGACAGTCAGCCTTCTATGGCCATTTTGAAGGGAAAACCGGTATAAAACAGCACCAAAATCAACACAATCAACTTAACTTTATTTTTTCTTGTTAATTTCAAGCTACCATAACTTGGCAAAACCGGCGCTTTATTTCTAATACTCTCACAGCGCTAAACAGCATTATCTACCCAAGAACAAGAAGTCCAACGACTACTGCAAAGCTGATTTAAAACAACGTATATTGTTTTTTATAACAATATTTCGGCTGGCCATACCAGCCTTCTTCAGGTTTACAGATGTTACTGAACTTATGTAGCAATCACAATATTATATAAATGGAGAATGTCGTAATAAAAGGGAGAGGAGGAAATGACGTACAACATAAAAACTGGGAAGGAAAAATACTAAGGATATGGATTACAATAATCCGTCGCGGCGGTTTAGGCCATGAGGTTCAAGAGTCATGGCCTTGTCTATCAAATGCGACTCCCTGGCCTTACGAACTGAGTCACGTGAAGAATGAATTTTCTCTAGTGGGATTAACTGCATGCCAGTATGAGAATGGTTAGAGTGAGAGAGAAAGTGTTCAGAAACAGTAGTGGGTTTAGATTTAATGTTAGTTTTGTCGACTGCACGTCTGTGTTCGTTAAATCTGTCCTAGAGACGTCGCTTAGTTTCACCTATATATTGTAAATTACAACGG